TAATTTTAAGTTAAGTTGTGTTTTATTGGTATAATGTCTGCTAGAATGCTAAAAAATGTTCAGTGTTAAGTAAATATTTTAAAATTGTTTTGTAAATGATTTTTTTCTTTGAAAAGCAAGACAAAACAGTAAAAAGCACATTTTGGCTATTTAATTTATGCAATGATGAAAAATTTGGCAAAATGGGGGGAAAAAAACGTGAAAAACCGTGTTCGGCATTCGGCCCAGTATTTAATTTTGTTCGGCTTCGGCCAAAAATTTTCATTTCGGTGCATCCCTACAAAAAACAAAAAGTGTGCTCATTATTAGTGCTCCATATGGGATCCATATTGGGAAGATCTTTACATAGGTAAATGAAAAATATTTCAATATTTAAGCCAACATTCTTGCAAACACACACACACACACAAAAACAGGACTGTTTTTGCATCGTTCATGACAATTATGCACCACTCATACGCTCCGCTATTTCAGTGCTGGATTTCCCCAAAACACCAAAGACTGCAAAGCTGCACAGTATCATTTACATAAGGCAAATATTAACACACTGACTCATTTGGACAACCAGTACAATAGTACTTTTGCAAGCTCTTTTTTACACTAGACCTCTAATCTAGAACATTAAACGTACAGTAGCAAAGATCAACAACAGGTTTAAAATCTGGCACAGAAAGAGTATACCACTTCTGCCACAACTGCAAATCGGCAACAGGTTAGACAACAAATAATATAGGGGAGTGCTATAAGACCTATATAAAAAAAAAAAGGTGTGAAGCAAAATGTCTCGAGCAGTCTAGCTGTGATATTTATTTGTGATCTATCCATGTCTTGACATGTGAAAGATACAAAGAAACGCATAAAGAAAGATCTGATAGAAATGCAGGCTGAGAACGCTTATAACTGCACTGCCTGGTGTCCAGAGAACTGCTCACCGTTGCCCTGGGAAACCAGAGCATCACGATTTCTCCATGGAGATAGTCAGTGACTCAGCACAAAAGAATGAGAGCATATGGATTTGAAAATTGAAAAATGGCACAAGATAACATCCATATAGCATATGCATACATCCTTGTACAGCCGAAGTCAAAACATCTGACGTGTAAAAAAGCTGAATCAAAAAAAGAAAAAAACCTTTATAGTGGCATCCTCTGAGGCGGAGACCATGAGGCTGAACACAGGGTGGAAGATGACGCGTGTGACAGGGCTTCTGTGGCCACTGAGGGCGTACTTCTCAGGCGGGCGTGGGATCCACTCTTTGGGGTCTCGTTTCTGTCCCACAGGGCCTCCTAAAGTGATCTCCGCCGTAGCTTCATTTAGTTTGGACTCCAACTCCATTACCTAACAAAATACAGGAAAAACTGGGGTTGTTTACCTTGGAAAATTGACATGTGCAATTATTTCAGATATATTGCACAGTTTTTTGTTTTTTTTAATAAGAATATACTGAAAAATGATTTACTGACCTTTTTCTGTAATCTGATGACTGAAGTCCATTTTTTTTCCAAAAGGCCTGCATACTTCTTATCCAACTCTTCATTCTGAAGAAATTACAAATAAGAATGAGACCTACTAATACATCAAATGGGATTGTCTTTTTTCATTTTGAAGCGTAGTGTGAATATATGCTATTACCACATCCAACTCTGTCTCCTTCTTAAAAACAGAATATGCTTCTTCATAACCATTAGAGCGCAAATAATCTGCTATTGCTCGATTTCTGAAAGAAAAGGAGGTGATTTTATTAGACAAAGAGATGTGTAATCATGCAGTTAAGTAAGGGATAATGCACGGCTAGCTGTGCATTAAACGATTTTAATGCACAACATGGAGGCCAAGAACCACCCGACGCCTCCACGGAGTGCATTAAAATAATTTAATGCACAGCTACCCGTGCATTATCCCACTTATACCATGGTCATTTGCCAGCATTGACAAGTTAAAGCTGTTAATGATGTTTGCAGCAACATATTTGACCGGAAGGGTAAAAAAACTGTTATTTTCGTCAGTTATGGCTCATTAGCTTTAGCATTCTGCCTGCTTCAAATCAGACACAGAAATGAAATGGTGCAGTAAGATCACATTTATTTGAATAAATTATAGCATTTATTGGAATTAATTATTGATCGATCGAGAGCGAGAGATGACAGTTGTGTGTGTGTGTGTGTGTGTGTGTGAGAGAGTTACCTGCGTCTGTGCGTCTCTCTCTCTACAAACAATTAAGCTGTAAGTTTAGTTACTTAAAATACAGCGATTTTAACACATCGTTGCAGAGGAATATAATATAGTTTTGAACACTTATAATATAGTTATAACCAGTGTTGGGCAAGTTACTTCCAAAATGTAATACATTATATATTACTAGTTACTGTCTTTTGAAAGTAATTAGTTACATTACAATATTACTGTCTCTGAATTGTAATGCATTACACTACTTTTGAGTTACTTTTGAGTTACTTTCATCCAAAATATCCACATAAGTATTGTAAAATGCCAAAATGTAGTTTATTGCAGCTCATTCTACACCCAGTGGAGGGTAAAGTGGTAGGTCTATATAGCATAAAATATGAAATCATATTTAGATACCGGTATGTAGGTCTACATTAATGTTACGTTGTAGTTTAGGTTAAAAAATATAAGCACAAATCGCATTATTACATTCAAAAATAACACTGGTAAATAAAGCGAAATATTATCATGTACAAACAATAAACACAATACCTAGCCTATAGGCTATTTTGAACGGTTTCAGAAGAAAACAAGAATGAAAAATATAAGTTGCTAAACAAGCCAAAATGAATTAGGCTAATTCAATGCGAAACTGAAAGCAAACGGCGTTCTCGCGCAGCCTACCTCTCTCATTCGGCATTAATCCAATTAAATGTGTCCATATTTGCGATGTATTTGAATGCTTTATGTAATCCAAGCTTACTTAACGCACTTAAAAAACATCCTCGTCACATGAGCAAATATGTGTTTGGCCCGAGCTCAGGCTGATCGACACGGATTGTACTACGCAGTAGGCTACGCACTATTTAAATTAACCAGTGTATCTATATGTTTGGTTGACTATTTTATTCACTGACAAGCTACACAAAATCGCGTTCAAAATCGCAGGCGATTCATTGCCGATTTTGAACACGATTTTGTGTAGCTTGTCAGTGAACTACGGCTGTGTAGTAAATGCCGCTCCATCTGAAAGCACGTGCTGGAGATTTACTACTAATCACAGGAGCGGCTTTACTGACGAGATGCGCATGAAAATCGCATTTGATTTTTTACAGACCCCTAAATATAGTGATCCAATATCTAGGCCATTTTGTTGATTAAAGTTGCGGAGCAGTGTTCACAAGAAGTCTCTGTGCTCCTGAATGTTTCTGTGTGTGCGCAGTGTGATCTGCGATCTCCGAACTCTCTCTCTCTGTGGATGTGCATGAGCAAAGACTATGGAGCGAGTGATGTGTGTGTGTTTGTGTGTATCAATTTAAGCAGCGCATTAATATAGAACTGTGATTAAACTGACTTGGAACTACCTGTGCATTAAATGGTTTCAATGCATACCTGCCAGCCAATCAGAATCGAGTATTCAGACAGACCATGGTATAAGCCTTAATAAAAACTTCCTCTATGGTAACATAACCAGTGTGTGATCATCACCCAAATCCATTTAGATTTAATGCATACACGGTAAATGATGAGACCGTACTTATCACATTAGCAGTGACATAGAGATGAAGTCAATATGTAGCAGGTCTCATAATTATAGATCTGAGTACATTTTGTTAGGGACATCAAGACTCATTGGACAGTTTTGGGAGTGGAAATGGCATTCAAATGCAGGACTGAATCAGCTACATTAATATTATGGAATCCAGGAGTCAGTTCTGAAATAATAATAGAAACATTTAGATAACTTGTCTACTGACCGTGTACAGAACGTGATTAAAGAGAAGTGACAAATGTATTTAGCTGCAGTGTGAACAAGGCCATTCTTTTGCTTTTGATAGATGTTTTGGTGATGCAATACTCTTGTCCTACATGGTAATAAATAGTGCAATTCCAGCAGTACAACTCAGTAAGAAAGTTCCATCTCTTAATGAAGGTGGAGACTGAGGGGGTAAAAAACGGACCAGGGAATTAACCAAAACACAGTGCCCTGGTTGTCATGGACACTCAACACTGAGGACGGAAAAAGTCTCAAATGAATTAACAAGTACATTAAAAACAAGAAAATCCATTGCCTGACAAATGCAAAGAGAAAAACAGCTACATAGTTCAAGTCACAATAATGCTTTTGAGGATATAATATCACCCTCCTCGTGAGCATTTCTGCCTTTCACTCCAAACACTCAACTGTTTATTCCACGTTGGTGTTACATGTATGTCTTGTTTTCTGTTCTCTCCGTTGTGACCTAGTTTTCCTGAGTTGCCTGATTATGTCATTCAGTTCACCTGTTGTCTGTTGTTGTTTGTTTGGTTCATGCTTATAACTCCTCAGTTCTCCCTTAGGCTACGTCCACACAAAGCCAGAGCTTTCCCTATCCGATCTTTTTTCCTCCCTCGTCTCAAGAAATATCTGCCGACACAAAACTATGTAGTATACATGCCAGACCAGCGTGTGGCGCTATAATTCTGGCACAGAGATACACTAAAAACAGAAAAGAAGACTTGGACTATGCGCATAAACCTTGGGCGCGGTATACAAACGAACATGGAACAATACATTTATTAATCAGTGTTAATGTTAGTTAATAAAAAGACAATCGTTCGGTGTTTGTTCATGTTTTTGTTGCTGTTACGTGACGTAGCGGTGTCTGACTAGGGGCGAGACGTGGGCTGATGATGTCATCGTTTCAGAAAATATACGGATTCGCTGTCCACACGAAAACGCAAGGGCGGCATTTTCAGATTTATCCACTCTGGGACCCGGTTTCAAAAAAATATAGGTCCAGTATCTATAGGCAAAAACTGGATTCAAAGAACAGCCACCTCATTAAATTATTATTTTTTTATTTAAAGACAGCCAAATTAAGTTTCTTTATGGTGATGTGTATTTTTTCCAGTTAAAATACTTTCTCCAATCCCAATTTTAGCTACACAGACAACTGTAAGCAAGCCATTCATAGGATAAAAATATCCATTATCCATCAAATTAATTTCATGCTTTTAAGGGTGCAGTATGTAGATTTTAGCAGCATCTAGCGGTGATGTTGCGAATTGCAATAAACGGATTAGCCCCTCCCCTTGAGAAGCTACCATTGCCGACACAGGACAAAGATGTCGTCATCTGAGACAGCAGAGAGTAGCCAGTCAAGCGTTGAGGTTTCTTTACAAAGATAAATTAAGAAATGATATGTAATTAATTGCTTTTAAGGGTGCAGTATGTAGATTTTAGCAGCATCTAGCGGTGATGTTGCGAATTGCAATAAACGGATTAGCCCCTCCCCTTGAGAAGCTACCATTGCCGACACAGGACAAAGATGTCGTCATCTGAGACAGCAGAGAGTAGCCAGTCAAGCGTTGAGGTTTCTTTACAAAGATAAATTAAGAAATGATATGTAATTAATTATTTAGTAAACCGATATGTTATTGCGAATATTATTGTTACATGTTCATCATTTTCGCTTCTTTGACTATGAAGATTGACACAGTCGTATGGAAGCATACAGGTAGCAAAATTCAATTCAAAAAGCAATATGCAAAATGGCAATGCAATATTCAAAATGTCAACGCAATATTCAAAATGCCAATGTATTTCTGTTTTTAAATGTACATTTTCCACTACCCATATGTGCCACATTTGGTGCAAAAGGAAAATGAAAATGAAATTATATAATTTACATTTGCCATTTCCAACAGTAGTCTTAATATGTAAATTGCATAATAATTTTAACGCTTTATAAGTTGCGAAATGAAAATGAAAATGTATAACCCACATTAATTTGATGTGTAACATGTCCAAGCAGAAATGGTAGCAAAATGATCATTTAAATGCTATTTTTCCTAAATGCATTTAGACTAACAGTTAGGACACTTAGAATTGCATTTTTCTCATGATGCCGTGGGATATTTGTAGCAAAATTCAGTGCGGCTTTGAAAATGCATTCCGAGCTGACCACGCCCGCCCTCCGTCAATCATTGCTTCAAAGGCAGGGATTGGCGGCAGCGTGTTACGTTTGGATCGTTCGAAACATGGCGACTGGAGATCTGATAAGATCGTTGAATTCACTGGCAGATGAAGTGGAGTGTGAACTGAGAAATATATGGTGCGTACTCCGTGCTAAAATCAAAAGTTCGAACGACCGACCGACCGATCGAACGTCAAACCGAACGTCTTGAGATTTGAGCGTCTTACCCTGCGGGTGACCCACGTGACGTCAGCGTCTTGAAATTAGCTGGTTTTTAAACATTTAAGGAGCCAAGCTGCTGTGTAAAGACTATAAAATGGACATTACAAATAAAGATATTTTATATCTAAAATAATACTCAACCATTTCCTGCATCCTGCTGTACTAACCTGTTGTACTTGCTGTACTTAAGTATTTAAAGACAATTGTAGGCTATTTTAAGTCATTCTGAGTGATATAAACACAACCTTCATGCGCATCTGATTGACAGATAAACCGCAAGCTCTTATTTCAGTGTTGTTTTTTTATTTTGTGCATATTTCAGCAAACAATTTGGTCAAATCGCTCCTCCTTCATTATGACCTTTTAATTA